ATCTAGTATTAATTGCATCTGTGGATTTGTTTTATGTTTTCCAAATAACATAATCTTTGTTTTGCTTATATTTAATGATAATTTGTTTGTGTCAAACCAATGTTTTACTTTAATCATTTCTGCTGTTATCACTTCCATTAGCTCTTTCAAATTGTCACCGGAACAAAAAATATTAGTGTCATCTGCAAATAAAATAAATTTCAATATATTTGATACTCTGCAAATGTCGTTGATGTATATTATGAACAGCTTTGGACCCAACACGGACCCCTGAGGTACTCCACAATTTATGTTCATGTATTCTGATTTATGTTCACCAATTTCAACAAATTGTTGTCTGTTGCTTAAATAATCTCTCACCCAGTTTAATCCCACCCCTCTGATGCCATACCGTTCCAGTTTTATCAGTAAAATATTGTGATGGTGTCAAATGCTTTTTGTAAGTCTATAAATATTCCCACTGCTTGTTTTTTATTGTCCATGCAGTTTGCTATTTCCTCACTTAATTCCATTAGTGCCATATATGTTGATCTATCTTTCCTGAATCCATATTACATTGCATTTAGCTGACGCTTTTATCCAAAGCGACTTACAATAAGTACATTCGACCAGGAAGACACAACCTTGAAGAAAACAGAATCATATAAGTACATCAGGTTTCATAGAGCCAAACATTTCAAGTGCTACTCAACTGGCTTTAGATAAGCCAGTCCTTTATTAGTATATAAGTGCTTTGTTAGTAATTCTATTGCTCGAGGTGGAGTCGAAAGAGATGAGTTTTCAGTCTGCGCCAGTCATATTGACTGTCGTCCAAAAGCTGATATGTTTCCATGAAACTGTGCCGTGGAAAACTGTACAAATCCCGTTTCAATAATTCCCCTCTACTCTAAAGTCGCATCTAAAACGTGATCTGATCTAGCTGTGTATATTTTGTTATTTTTGATTGTTATATTCAATCTCACTAGCTACAGGCATGTTTGAAGCTTGTAAAGGGAAGATGACAGCTCTCGCCACTCTGCTGTTCCTCAGCGCCGCCCCCCCCTCCCTCCCGATGAAATTATGAATGTAAGGTGTAGAGTAATCATAGATAACACGGCAGGGCCCGTTACAGTTTGTTTTTATCTGATTTCAAATAAGCAAAGTCTTGGCTTTCAGAATATTAAACTTGTTTCGGCAAATTCAGATGATAAATACAACTTTGAAGCTTCGGCATGATTACAAGCGGAGAACGGAGTAGCTTAACGTCACAGCAGGCATAACAACAGCCGGTGTTTCTCGTGAGTGCAGTAATCCAAACGAAAATATCTTCCCTCCGTAGTATTTTGATCATTTGCTCCGCTAATAATCAATCATGATGATTGATGATGAGAAATGATGGATTCCAGAGAAGAGAAAACTTTAAAGGCCTTTTTCTCAAAATGATGACTCTGTAACAGTCATTATATAATGTGACATATTTTGCTTAATATTTGGAGTACAAACAACAATCCTGATATCATTAGAAAGCTAGGAATCAAAATGTGTCTTCGGGTCAATGCGACTGATTTCGATGGAGCAGGTCACTTTGCATTAGGTAAAATAAAGCAGGCAGACATAACAGGAAGAATATGTACATTTTAACCCAATCAAATAGGACATTGTCACACCCTTCAAATGTATCCATGTAAATTACAACCAATAAAAAGCTTAGATTTATTTATTTGGTACTTTATTTGTTACGTTGTTCTGTGTGTGTCAGCCGTTAACCTAGAAATAATATATACACTTGCAAACATGTCAGAAGAACCAGCGCAGAACTAAATACAGTCAATCTAAACTTAAATTTAACAACTGGAAGGTCACATTCCTGACATCCACATCTCCGGAGGCGGGTAAAGCTGTACAGCTAACTATCGGAAAAAAGGAGACCGCTAGTAGATTATTTGAGCAAAGAGAAGGTACTTCAACGCAGAATGGTACAAAAACAGAGAGTGGTTCGTTCTTTGCAAAACCACTAAACGATAGTGATACATTGCGATGTTAACAACCTCATGATAACCTCATATTTTTTTTAACTTAGGATCATACCTGTGTTTAGTCTAGAAAAAGGTAAATGTGTGCATTTTATTATAAAGTTGTGTATATTTACAGACTATTGCAAAAACTAAGAAGCTTATAAACATCAGGTTTAAAACTAAAAGAGCTTTACAAAAAAGTAACACAATTAAGATGTTTGGAGTTTTATTTGAGTTATTCATTTACATTTTTTGTCAAAGAGATGCTGATTTGAAACCGTTGTTAGGCCTACATACAGTTACGGCATTTCCTGTTTCTGCCGGAGAGAGGGGAGTTTGTCCCAAAGCTTGCTGCTGTATTTACTCCCTCCATCTGACAGGAGGGAGCCTCATTGTCACTCCACGGAGTTCACTCCGTCACGGAGGGGGAGTGTGTAGGTGTAGGGCGTGGTTTGGGATTGGGCCATACACACGCACTTTTTTTGGCCCCCCCACTTCTAAAATGATCTGGCGCGCCTGCCACAGAGGATACATCAGATGTATCCCTGAAATCTGGGAAAGAAGGCCGCGTCCAAACCGTTCTTTTTATACATCCATGGTCCAACCGTCCAAACCATGGATGTCCCAAACCATGGATGTCCAAACGGGCGGTACTACAATTTCCGTGTCAGTCCGCGACGTCACCCGGCCCAGAAATATGTATATGGGAAAGAGACCGTCTGTAAATCATCGGATACCTTTTTAAAAAAAACGAAATAAACTATCTTATAGCCCTTATTAGAATCATTAAGTCCTTAAAGTTGTAAAATGCATTAAAAGCTGAAACTAGATTTATTTTTCTCTCTCCACCCGGCTGAAAAAACCAACATAGAATTCATGCTGGTCTATGCTGATTTTTGCTGTGAAGCTTCACCAGACCATTGCTCGTAATACCAGCAAGACCAGCATGGGAAAGCTGGTACACTCAGCATGGCCTTGCTGGTTGAAGCTGGTACACCAGCAGTCTCATTATGATATAGCTGAGTGAAGTTGGATTACCATTTTTAGCTAAATAAATAGAGAGAGACATAGACCGAGAGACATAGACAGAGAGAGATAGAGACAGACGTACAGTACACTGGGTGTTTCTCAATGTCAAGGAAGGATCCTCCAGAGCCACTATTTCAAGGATACACGTCATCGAGTCCCGCCGAAGGACTGTTCCATAATATTGGTGCACATTGTAGCATAAACCACAAAATATCAACTAAAGAGGCAAAGTCAAAACAAGGTCATTTTAATTATTTATTTAGGTGCAAAACGCTCAAAGGTCTCATTCAAACCTAATAGTCCGCTTCTCTGATGCGCACCAGACGACAGTTTGTTCCATTGTTTCCTTTTTCAGAAGGTTCGGTTTTGCGTTCACACGGGCAAAACTCAAACGGACAGTAAACTTTAAACACAAGTCATGTGCAGATTTTCTACGCCATAGCCTACTTACATTTAAATGTGTACTGCTTCACTTCAGCCATTTTCCGCCAAAGATTTTGGAAATTGGTCCGTGCGCAAAGCATTGTGGGGATTTTAAGACCGCGGAGGATACACATGTGCATCCTCGAAATTTCCCGCACGAAGGACTTCCTTGACATTGAGAAACACCCGGACGATCTTGTTCCTCTGTCATACTGATCATACAATAAAGCCATCGAAATTATAATATGATACAACACGTCATTCTGGGTCTCTGTGTGTCATTCAAGCTCGGCTCTCTGTGTGTGGCATGAGCGCATGTGAGTGAGTGAGTGAGTGAGCGATGCGAGAGAGAGAGAGAACGCACCGGCACCGGGGATTGTTGTTGTTAGCATCTGGTTAGCTAGCTAAGCAAATGGACATAAGGAGCTGTTTCTACAAACAAGGTGGGGGAGTCTCAGATAACCTCAGCTCGGGTGAGGTAAAGGACTCTCTGAGTGTTTAGATAGTTACTAACTTTAGTCTAAGTAATAATTAGTGGGTCTCAAACTGTTTAATCACTATTTATGTAAACAAGTATTTCCAAGGCACCCCTTTATTATGATCATTTAAGAAATACAAATAAGGGAATAAATGAAAAACAGGTATGAAATAATTCCAATTCATATTATAGGACACACTGTAAAACCTAACATCGTGTAAATCATCGTCATAAGAATTGAATAAGTAAGCCTTACTTATTTTATTTTGTATTAACTTGTTATTAACACTCAGTTTAAATAAGTAACCTGTAATACGTGGTCGAAAAACCTACCTAAACTCAATGTAATTGATGTGAGCTAATTTTAAAAACTAAGTAGTGGACACGGTTATTTTTTTTTCAACATTAGGACATGCGCAGAGATCACTCCTTAACCACTTGGCGCTCAGTTACTTTCTGGAACTTTTCTGGAACATGTGCAACAAGCCCTGCAGCAGATGGACGTCCCCCCACCGGCTATGGTCATTCTCATTGTCGCACTCAGCATTACAGTGAATATTTTGCTGAGCACACTGCTTTGGTGAGTACATATTAACATCCCAACCGTTTTTGCTGTCTTGTTTGTATTTAATCTCAAGGTGTATATGCTTGCTAGTTAAGATGACATTAGCATTAGCTTAACATTAGCTAACGTTTGCTAACGTTAGCTAATGCTATCTTAACTATTGCGGACATAATGTGGCGAAATCCTGTTGCAGCTTGGCCCAGGAGGTAGTCTTAAGAGTGTCAACATTTAATAAACGGAGATAGACGAGGGCTGACTTGATTTAACTGCATAAAAGTGCTTTTTGTATAAGTTGAGGTTCTGTTTAGAAGGCATTGAACAAAGACTAGCACGTGAGTAACTTAATTATTAATGTCATTGTTTTAGCCTAATGCCGTGACTTGTGACCTGTTTTCAGTTGTATATATTGCAACAAAGTATAAAGTTACACTTCACAACGTGTGAGCGCCAGTCAGTATACTCCTAGCTGTTTGCGGTGCGGGACAGGGAGCTGCTTGAGGAGTGACCCTCCGGCCCGGCCTCGGTGCAGACTGGCGCATTTCCACTACAGCGCGGTTTAAGCGTGCCGTTTTTGGTTGCCACTTGGCGTAGGACCGGCTAGCGGGTACTATTTCACAGTTTTTCTGGCCCCATAAAATCGAGGTTCTTAGCGGGCCAACAACCAAGCTGAGTCGGGCTGAGTATGCTAAACTAGAGAGAGAGAATCGCTGGCAAGGGGGCGACAACTACAACAAAATGAACATATTTGACCGTGAATTAATTGTAATACACGTTTAAAAAATGATGCCGAAGTAACAACATACTGATACCGGTTAGTAAAAACCATGAATTAATGCTTTGACAAGTCTGCAGACAGACGGCAGGCGAAAAGCTTTTAAAATGTGTGTTTGCTAAATGGAGATTGGCTAACCTAACAGTATATCAGTGATGCAAATTAGGCGCGTTTCGGCGCCTCCCGGTTTTTTAAAGCTGATTTGGGTGACTTGTGTAATTCGTGGAGAACCGAAGAGTTTTCGTTTTGGGGGTGGGGGTTGTCCGTCCGACTGACTCCAACGAAGAAATCGTTGGAGTCGTCGCCAAGAACAATCGCAATCCCTTTGAGGACAACAGAGCGCTGTTCAGTCACGTCTGGTGTCTAATGATAGAGATAAAGAAGACAAAGATTAGGTTAAATTACAAAGTCACAAGATGAACAATGTTGGCCTTTTCCATCTTTTTGAGGGGTTGTTTTAATTATTTTTCGAAGGCTTTTGAAGTTGTACCATATCGTCATCAATGACAAGTGACAAAAAGTTGCTAAGTTATATTACTTACCACCCAGTTGATGCTCTGCATCAACTCTGTCAGTTTCTGTCCAACCGATCCTTTCTTTGATTTGAACAGTTGGATGAAACGTGGGGTGTGCTGGTCCAGAGCCTCAAAGAAGTCTGCCTCAAGGCTCCTACTGGTAACGCCATTAAATTCGGCAAATACCTGAAAAAGTAGAGAAGGGGGTGGGGTAGGAGATGGAAAACCAGCACATTAGGAAGACATCTGATGTTCTTTGCTTTTGTGTGAATTAAAGGTGGAATATACATTGCTCTGAAAGTTACAGCCTTGATATGGACAAGTCACCTTTTGCTTCAACTTCAAATGTTCTCGCAAAAGGTGTGAAAAAGTCTGCTTGACTGCAAGGCTCTATAAAGTCGCATAGCTGACAGTGGAACGCTGTTTCACTCACTTTCTCGATATCCTTAAGAGTGTGCCATGTTGATAAGTGAACCTTGAGTGCATTAAAAGATTTAAACGTGCAAAGGCATTCCTTATGGAGGCATGGGAGTGGTGATGTCCTAGTATGGCAGCCATGTTTGAGGCGGTAATGCCTAAGTAAAAAGCCTCTTTTTTCAGAGCAAAATTAGCAGAACTTACAGGTCCACTGCATCGGAGGTTTTCAATCTGCTTGGCAAATCTGAAAATCAAGAACGACAAACCAACAAAAATAATCAAACATCACGTATACAACAATTTAGAAACTACGATGTTGTATTTACCTGATTCAGAATGCAAAATGTGTTATTATGAAATAAGTGAAAGTGAGAAGAGGACTCAATTGTATCCATGCTATTGTTGTGATCAAATTCTAGTGATGTTAAGATAAAGCTCTTACGCCGCTGCTCATAGAAAAAATACAAACGATCAGAGAGGAATTGTGTAGTTTGTAAAAATTAGGGCTGTCAGTCGATTAAAATATTTAATCGCGATTAATCGCACATTTTTTATCTGTTCTAAATGTTCCTTAGAGGAATATTTTTCAAGTTTTTAATACTCTTATCAACATATGAGTGGACCAATATGCTTTATGCTAATGTCAGTGTGAGAAAAAGTTTTTAGAGAGTACTTGTCCATGGACAAGTGAGTTTGGCAATTTACTTGTCCGAATACATTTTTCACTTGTCCAAAATGGACAAAAATAGGGGCCACTGGAATCTTCTTCTTCGTCATCGTATTTTACATTTTCCCACGGTTTTTATGACACCGCTAACGTAAGTGAGCGGTAAGATTTTACTGCATCACACATAGGGTTGGGTATAGTTTGGATTTTAACGATTCCGGTTCTGCTTTTCGATTCCGGATATTTTTGGTTCTCAATTCCGGTTCTTTGAGAGGGTAAAAATAAGTCCCATGACAAACAGGGAGAAAAATATATTTATGAAAACATTAAGTCAAATCTGTATTCCTATTTACAAATCACTTCATACTTTTTAATTTCTTACGGTTATTGAATACAAGTGGTGCAGTTTGAGAATGTACAATTGGCCCAGTCTCCTCTGATGTTACACTGCAACCTGCCTGTGAGACAGAGTCCAACCACACATGTCCAACACATACGTGTATAACCTAATAATAATAATACATTATATTTATTAGTGCTGGGGGGAAACTATTATTTTGAAAACGATTAATTGGGCGATTATATGATCGATTAGTCGACTAATCTAACGATTATTTTTCTGTTGTTCAATTCATAAAAAACGTAATGTAAAAAAAACGTAATGTAACATTTTTTTTTTCACGATACTGTGTCTCAGGGGATCTTAATATTTAAGAACCTATTAATGTGTTATACCAGATTAACGGAAATAATCTCAGCTAACTGACGATACAAACCATTTTTACCAAAACAAAACACAAGTCTCATAAGAAGCATCTAAATGACCCCTGAGCGAAAAATGCTAACGGACATTGGCACAGAACTCAAGATAAAAGTACCCTTATTACTTATCGTAGCTGCACATACAATATATCCGATTAAAGCTGAGACTCCACAGATTATGTAGGTATATAGTATCATCACTGAGTGATCCGGACTCGCGACAGAGGAAGCAAATACAGTCATCACAACACGTACCACGTGGTTACTTTTTAAACAATGTTAAGTCCAACAATGCATTTCATGTTTATCTAAAAGCTTGTAGAGTACTATATCTACACAGTGAAAATGTTTGGTAGTGCAAGTGCAACTCATGAGCCCTATCACACTTGGATGTGCTGGTGGTCATTTTAATGTTTTTAATTAATTCATGACAACTGCGCACCAGCTTACGTGCAGCCCTGGCCTGGACATTGCTTGGCTCCATTAGTTGACAATCTGCAGACGTAAACTAGCTACCATTCCAGCCAACATTAAATGCTGACAAACGTTAACTGACACACAGCTGGCGCCGCTAGCTAGGTAGCTAACATTAACTACTAACCGTAACCAACCAAGCACGAACAAACCGCACGGAGAGCAATAAGATAGTTAGCACTACCGAAGTGCACAGAACTCAAGCTGCACAACACACTACACAAACGTGGAATTAATTTAGCCAAAGTTAGTACTTACTTATCATTGTTCCCTCCACGAGAGACAATGGGGTGCCTCCGCTTTAAATGTTCCAACATAGCCGTTGTGCTTGTGTGATATGCCAACTCCATTTGGCAAAGACTGCAAATGACAATATCTTTGCGTTTTGGACTAACTTTAAAATATTCCCATGCTTTTGAAGACCTAGGGCGAGATGTTTTCGTTTGGGGGCTTCGTGCGCAATCCTGTGAGGAGGAGGTGGTAGCCGTTTCAGTCTCCATTGTGTTTGAAGTGAGATTGCGAACTGCTTGTTTGCTTTGGTGACCCAATATGTCGTCGACGATATTTGAAGTCGACGTCGTCGACGCCTCGCTACAGCACTAATATTTATAGCCTATAGGCCTAGCGCTTTTCTACAAATCAAAGACGCTTGCACGCTTACACATGTCCTGCAATACACATGCTGCAGCTGCCCAGCTGCTCACAGTTTGTAAAAGTAAATAAATAGTATTTTCATTTCAATAATGTACTTTCTATACCCTGCTTCATAAACAATACTGACATCCCTGTGCTCCTCCGAGTCTGGGGGTCCGGGGATGTGAGGACAGCGCGAGGACACAGACAGGGAGGCTGCTTTACTTCATAAAGGAAATGGCGGTCAATATTAACAACACAGGAGCTAAAACGCTTAATAACCTTCATTACGTGTTAGAGAAAGAACATACGAAAGTTTGACAAAGATGAGGCTGTTAAACGGGCAGCGGATCCGCTGTGTGTAGAAAGAGAGAGAGACGCTGAGCTGCACCGTGCAGCGATCAGCTGATACGGAGCATAGAGAGAGAGAGCTGCGGTCCGCGGGGCCACTGTGCTACACTTCCCGCCCCGCCCCCGTCTAACTGTACAGAAAGCGGCGAGATGCATTTCCTTAGGAATCGACAAACAGAACCGAAACTAACATTTCTAAACGAACAATGGCGGACATGTACAATTTGCGAATGAGTTCTGCCTTTTGTAAACTGAATTTATCAATAATTTGTCAATAAATCAGGGCGAAAAACGTCACTTGTCCGCCGGACAAGTCAATTGAAAGATCTACTTGTCCGATATTGTAAATAACACGTCCCGGACAGTGGGACGTGTACTTTTTCGCACACTGTTTAATGTTTATTATCATTTGAACAATGGCAAATATTCTCATGAATATTAAACACAACAACCTCTGAACATTACAAATATTCGCCTTAATTCAACCTGGAACCTCTCATACAATACAAATTGTGTGTGTGTGTGTTCGTTGGAGCTATGTGCAACTCAAGGCATATGCTCAAACGGGAGCTGCCTGGAAGCTGCAATCATGTTGCGCACTATCCGTGCTGAGTGTGCTGACTTTTCGTACAATGTCCCACTGTCTGGCTTCCTGCATAAAGTCAAGTGCTCGGCGCAGTTGTCGGCGAAATGTCACTCCTCTGTTTTCATTTAAACAGCTCCATATCCGTTAGCGCAGCTAGCTAGCACCAGATGCTAACAACAACAATGCACGTAAGGTCTCTCTCGCTCGCTCGGGCCACACATACACACCCTCCCGGTCCTCCAATGGCCAGTCGGTGCCTGCCGGTGAGCGTGGAAGTGTGGTCTGCCACAAGCGGGCGGCAGGAGCGGGGCTGTCAGCATCAGCTGGTAGATGGTATTTTAAACTCGATGCGCTCTGAAATCTACGGGGCGGCCGAGGACAAAAAATACACATGCGTTAATCGCGTTAAAATAATTAGTGGCGGGTTTTTTTTCCCTGTTAATAATATATATTAATATATATATATTAATATATATATATTAGGGCTGTCAAACGATTACAATTTTTAATCAGATTAATCACAGCTTTAAAATTAATTAATCATGATTAATCACCATTCGAACTATGTCCAAAATATGCCATTTATTTATGTATATTGTTGTGGGAATGGAAAGATAAATGAAAGAAGGCGGATATATCCATTTAACATACAGTATCTATGTTTATTAAAACATTTTTCTGCGTGTCAAAATGAAAGACAACCCACACACCTATCAATCATCAAACCGTGGGGTCTTAATTCATTACGTGTTGATTTCTATCAACGGGGGAGTACTTCAGGAAAGTCGACGGGGGGGGGCTAGTGGAGTACTTCGTGACCACAGTGTGAACGTTGTGATCAGCTGTTTTAGCGCAGTTCTCCAGTGAAGGGGGGGGGGGGGAGTCTCCCTCCGCAGCCGGTTGGCGTAGTTTTGGCACATTTCCGTTGAACAGACCGACGTTAACAGCAGCCCTGTCTGTGCACACGGAGACCGACTCTGTCGTCCGGTGATCTAACCGCCTTCTGGAAAAGCTTCACAAGTACGTCGGTACGCAAATGCGCTTTGTGACACAAGTGACGGTACGCATTTCAGATTACGCACATAACCTGCGTACCAGTTATGTGTTACCTGTACTACAGCAAAAGTATTCTCCGTCGGGACTTCCTGCAACAACACCACGCCGTTATCAAAGATGTTCTATTGAGAAGACGATCACTACGTGACAAAAGTTTTCAAAACCGTGGCTACTGAAATCAATCTTACTAACTGCTGTCTGTGCAATTTACTCGGCGCGAGATGGCAGACTTTATTTTGCTTACTTTAACATCATTTTTCATGGTGGGGCTAAGCCATTTCTTGGTATGGGTGTAGCCTACCCCAGCATACCCTGGCGCTGCCACTGGTGGCACGTATGGGGCGGGCCATTCTGCACATGCGTTAAATGCGTTAAATATTTTAACGCAATTAATTAAAAAAATTAATTACCGCCGTTAACGCGATAATTTTGACAGCACTAATATATATATATATATATATTAGGGCCGGGACTTTAACGCGTTAATTAAGATTAATTAATTACACAAAAATTAACGCATTTTAATCGCACTTATTTTTGCACCGCGGAACGTTTCTCACTGGATGAGTTTCAGGCGTACCGATTATACTGGAGCACCAACTAACGTTCATGACTTCAGACAACAACAAACCACAGTGAACAACAGTGGGACATGTTGTTTTAAAAAACGGACGGATGGAAGCGTCGATAAGAGCACGGTTGTGTGCAAATTATGCAAAAAGGAATTCGCATATCACCGCAGCACATCAAGCCTCAAGTATCACCTCAATGCAAAAACATATAGCAGCTAGCGTGGAAGCTAGCGTGGACGTTAGCCTCTTTTATCGCGTTCACACCAAAAAGAGCCGGTACTAAAATTAGTTCATGAGAACCGTTTTACCCCCACGAAAGTCCCTGCTAGAGAGCTGCTAGAGAGCAGGGACTTCTCCTTAATTGATCTAATTTTAAGAAATGTTCATCTGTGGGAGTATTTGCTAATGATGTGAGTGATCACTGTGTTGTAGCCACAAT